TTAAGAGAATTTTTACGTAATAGCAGAATTTATCTCGGCTATAAACAAGTAAGTAAAATATCTCCATATATCAGAGTTTTTATAAATTCCTCATCTTTTATGGAATCAAATGGCAAAGAATTACCCACGGATTCTGACAAATGACATTTTCGAGGGGATTCTGAACTTCAGGATTAATCGCGTCTCAAAGTGTCTTACAGAGCGCGAAGGTGTTGACGGCCTGACAGACAGTCCTCCTGTTTGGCGTCTAAGTTGACGCCAACAAGGTCTATTATATACCTTTAATACCTTTGGTCGTGTTCACTATCCTTGAACCAACTGAAGTTGGATAAATAAAAATACACACACAAGTAAATTGGCTATAATTAAAATGTAAGAAGACGTTCTCCGAGGTAATGTATACTTATTTAACTCTAAATGGATATTATCACTGTTTGAAGGTACGTGTAGATGGGTTGTCGGGTTTCTTGAACTGCGAAACATGTAGCAAAGGCAGTGAGACGAATTCCTCGGTTGTCATACAAGTGTTTCGGGTGCCAACGAGGGTTCAGGGGCTGTCCCGTCACATAGCATTATCTAGTGACAGAATGAGATGAGTACAGTCCAAATATTCTGTAGAGACCGTTGATTTTTAAATGCGCACAATCGCGGATGAGTCCACTACACAATAAAACTAGGGCCAATGATAAGACGATTACCAAGTCTTAATAATTAATTTATAAATGTAATTTAATGGCTGTATCTTGAAAGTTAATTTTGAAATTGGTTTCAATAAATAAGATACGAAGTATAACAATATTACAATAGTTTCTGCACTGTACTTATTGTGCGAAATTATCCAAATATAGTGCCCACGGATACATTACGAAGAAGCACACAAGACATTAAATAAAAAAATCACCCTGATGATGGTCGTATTGACCCACATATTATACTGTAAATTTTAAATACAGTGTTGATATACAAGATGGCAGCAACGATGTTAACGCAGGGATTGTTGCGTATTTATATTTATTTTTCAACTTCTACATTTTATTATTTTCTGTTAGCTGTCATCATTTTATGAAGAACCAGGCAACTGTTCCATAAGAGATTAATTGTTTATCGGAACGTAATGATAATTGAACGCGCTTAATTTTTTTTTCCAGTGCGATTCAAACATGCGTGCTCGGACACGATTCCGTCCTGAGCTCGAAGCTTGTTAAATCGATTTTGCATCCCGCTTTTGGAATTTTATAAATGTTGTACGTAAAATAGGCTTATATCCATATGCATTTTTAAATAACCTTCTAACGAAATAAAGGATTTTTAATAATTTATTTAGGAACATCAACTATTAGAGGCTACCCAACGTTTAGCACATTCTAAGTTTCTAACACTGATGAAATGGCCTCCGCGCGTACTTCTAACTTGAGAACAACAGTAGCGTAAATAAATACATGAAATTTAAATTATATGTGGAGATTCTTTTTTAAAAAATTATGTAGTTTTTAAAATCGAAATTTCTTTTGTAAAATGCTAAACAACAACATGACTGTCAGCATAAATCTCTACTCTATTTAAACTTTCCCTCTGATAACGATGTTGAAAGAACTACTAAAGGTTGATTTGTAAAAGTTCTGTTATCAATACAGATCGAAAGGAACAGTTAACTGAGCGTAAGTGAATTAACAGCTCATATTAAGCTCTCTCAAAGTGCAGAAGCACTCAAAGGAATGTCTCGTTTACGTTCTGTTCTACCTGAAGCCTTAAACTGATGGAAACGCAGAGATTCTGACAAGCTTGTAGCTGTAATTTCTAGCAGGTTCTGGAGTGGCGCCCAGAAAACAATAGTTATAATGTACTTCGTCCATCAGAAGTCCACAAGAACAAACGTGGTTCTCTAATGACGGAAAATTACGGTACTAAGGTTTCCCTCGTAATTGGCCGGAGACGAAAGGAGAAAGTGATGGAACTGGAAGACGGTAGAACATTAGCCACGCCATTGTGTCATCAGTGGTTCAGCGATGGCCCGTTCCAGACTGATTATTAGGTAGGACCCGCGCCTCGACTGTAATGACTGGGCATTTCTTGTTTCCCAGACCTGTTTATTCCGCTGATTCTGAAACTGGAAACGACTCGAAAAGTATAGTGGGAATGTGTATAAGCCATTACACAACGCCCCCCCCACCCCCCTGTGAATTATCGTAAAATAATATTGACCGTATAATTTCGCCGAGAATCGCAAATGGAAAAAAGAACAGTATATAATTAAAAATATTAATAATTTAATAGAGTGTTCCAGGGATATTTTTAAAAACAAGTGTTGATGTTAACGTTGCACGTGATATTCAGAATTTTTAAGTTCTGGCGACGTAGCTTTCTTTCAAAAGTGATTCTGTGAGCGAAATTTAAGCAACACCAAATAATTTTACAAAGAAATTATACATATATAAAAGAATGTGTGAGAATAATGGACATTTCCTTTTTAAATTCCTCTGATTCTTATGTCTCCTGCTGCGGGTTTAACTCTATGGACCACATTTCTTTTTCAGTAGCCAACAGTCAGCCAGTAGGTAAATGATTCCCCTACATTTTAAGTAACCCCTAAAGTGTATATTTCTGTGTTCAAGGGTTTATGCAACTGGACCGCGTCTACAGCCGAATTAATTAATCTGTATTCTCGTATTATACTTCCTTGGGATCCGTGTTAATAATATCCCCATCTACGCCTAGATCTACCAAGTGGTCTCTTGTCCTGCATGTTACAAATCCTGCTACATTTGGGAGGTCCCTAGTTCAAATCTTGGCCCGGAAACCAGATATTCTGATTTACGTTTGTCGTTTTAATCAGTCCCTACTAAAGGCCCCCCTTTCCTAGGAGAGTCACAAGGATATTTTGTGAGTCTGGGGTTTGAAAGATAAAATTATCGTTATTCTGTTAAAATACATTAAAAATACAACAGAGATATAACGCCATCCTGAAATAAATAGTTTGTAGGTTATTTAACGACACTACGTCAACTGCAGAGAATATTTAAGAGTCAAATGATATGAAACCTGTATTGGAGGCAGCAGTCACCTCTGAAACGTGGGTAAAATTGAACCAGACTAAACTTTACAACAGACTAGAAGACTCTCTTGAAATCTCGGATTACGCATTCAGAAAATCTTGGTCCTGGAACGTGAGATATAAATGTCTTGTTCCTACATACACAGTAATCTCATGAGCCCCTTCTCGACGTGCTGTTATGGGTCTAGACCAGGGGTTCTCAACCTTTCTCGCTGGCGTCCCACCAATTCCAATTTAACACATTAAATGTACCACTGACCAAATGCGTTCAGGGAAAACTTATTTATGTTAATATTATCTTTTGATTTTCTTACTTAGTTCGAGGACCACCAACGGTACGCGTACCATAGGCTGAGAACCGCTGGTCTAAAACAAGCTTTTAGCGCCATCTACGTTGGAACATCCTGTTCTCAGGGACTACTCTCGCATCTGACGTTGGCTACCATCTAGCGGCAGCTTTTGAAACATCTACATCGTGTCACTCAGATGTTTTTCTCATTTTATAGCGAACTATTTTGTGGTTTCGTCTGATGTAGAAAGTATAATTACTAATTGTTTTTAACTTTGTAAGCTAATACAGGAAGGAAATATCCTACTTCATTTTTCAGTCTTAGGTTTGTGTTTCAATATTTAAAGGTTTGAAACCAAAGCTTGTTTTAATAATATTTAAACATTCAGTCCGCAATGCAAACTAATACGAATATCAATCACTTGAAGCCGTTCACGGAAATTATCGCCAAACACAGAAACACTGTTTGTTAGAGAAGATAGTACAACGAAACCCTGAATGGTCTAAAGTATATGCAAATTTTAGTCTGTCTTTAATGTTTCCCGTGTCTCTTATTACGTTTCGTCGTTGTATTTTTCAATTGTCTGTACCAACCGACGTTTTAATAATTACGGGCTATTTACAGGGTGACCACAAACTGAAGTAAAATTTGAAAGGCTTATAACTGTTTGTCCAGGACACTTGTTAAGAAACGAATTGACCACTAACAGCGGCCCAGCACTCGAATTTCTGAACGCGGGTGTTACGATAAACTAAACACGAGGATCGTAGCAAAGAAGGGACAAAACTTGTCCCATACGGAGCCCCAGAAATGAAAATCAATGTTGTGAAGTCGGGCGACAGTGGTGGCCACCGATAGGTCCACTTCGGCGAACTGTCGGGGAGTGTAAAATCAAGAAACACGAGGCACAAAGGTTGTGACCTCAGTCTGTTGCTGTAACTGGGATATAAGGAAATATTTCAATTGGTCCAGGTATGAGATTACAATCGCTGTTCTCTCAGTGGAAAATAATGGTTTATAAATCTAGCGAGCATGAACAAAAACTTGGATCCTGAGTCACTGTTGTGAATTCATTATTTTTCCAACATGTGAACTGTGCTTTTCAAATCGTATATCATTCCGTGGTCACTGATGTTCTGTACTTTATTAAATGTACGCAGTTACAACACAGCATAAAAGTTCCCTGGCGTTCACCATGTTTCGATTTACTTAGTAGCGTGGAGGTCGATTTCATTTTATTTTATTAAAAAATTTAGGGCACACGTAATGACGCATATACGAACATCAATATATGTAATGATACGATATAATCATATCGCATGATAAATTTCGTTAAAAGGAGTTTAGTCACAACGTGAACTTTTATTTTATAAAAAAAAAAGACTGAATTAAATAAACTTCAGTCTGATACTTTTTCTCATCGATATTAATTTCTGCCTTTGATCTATTCGAGCAGAAAACGAGATCACTCCTTAGCAGTTAATATTACGCATCATAATAGTATTCCCTAATAACAATAATAATTATTACAATTATACGTAGTAACAATTAAATATCAAAATGTACTGGAATGCTAACTTAACATGATTATACGAACGAATACAAACTCTTATCTAGATCGGTCACGGTTCGTTTCAGAACGGGATGGGTCGGATTCTTATCTGTGCTCGGTGTCCTCTGTCGTCCACTGTCTCGCGCAACACGCGACAATCATTTTACCTTATGCGTCAGTAAAGCCAGAGGGAAACTTGACTTTCCAGCCGCTCCCTGACTTCGGAGGATGGACCTTCGTTACCACCACAAGACGCTCACAAGGAGAAGGCAGTTTCGGTCGAAGCCAGTCACTTCTGGTCACGAAAACATCGTCCCGCCGTCATGGAAGGACATCTGGCGTGATTATATCACAGAAGCGTTTCGTAATACGACATTTCAAGGTCTCGTCTACTTCACATACACGAGGCGACATCCCCTGGAACAGTAAGTTCTTCTTCTTCTTCTCCTTCCCGTTCAAAGAATCAGTTCCGTAACCGAAGGAATTATCTGCATCTCTTTCTTGGACGCCCAATGTCCCGTTTTCCAGAAGTTTGACTAGAATTTGTTTGCGTCAGGAGACATTAGGTCACTTATTTTACCGACCTCTTATTTCTTATAGCATTACATACATGTTACATCTCCACCTCTCATTTCATCTCTTAGCGAAACTCCGAAAACGGATCTCAGATATCTCATTTCCTATCTTCCTTCTGTCTCCTCTTAACACCCACGTTTCGCAGGCTTCAAAATGAAGTTATGAAATCGTAAATTTTATTTATTTATTTCCCCCCCCCAAGTATATTTTAATGCATCCATTTTGGTTATTCGTACGTCTTGTATTACTAGACATTATCGTGTTATATAATTTTAATATTTTATTCAGTTTTGTAAAATTTTCTTGTAAATGTTATTCTCTTTCTGCCAAAATTACCTCGTCATCCGAAAATAGCATCTCTTTGTGTCCATCAACACAGAATAAAATTATTGCATTAGTGTAATTTTAAACGGGTAAAATATCATTAACACAGATATTAAAAAATATGGCGTCGAGCGAACTGCCCTGAGAAACTATTGTCCTCTCTCATAAGATGAAAACACATTATAATACGTAATATTAATAATTAATAAAAAGAATTGAATTATTAACCTCGCTTGTATACATATTTTTGGGACATTCTGTATATTCGGCATTACTCAAGACTAAACGAATGTGTTATGTACGCTTTATCAACTGTGTAAGCTGTAGAACCTCCATATTTCAAGCCTAATAATTTGGAGTTCCCGAAGTTGAAAATATATTCTTGTCAATAAGATTTATCAAAGAATGTGCCGAGAGAATTGGTATTTAATTCAGTGGGAATACTTGGTCTTTGCCCGGTTTTGGGCCCTACCATCATGCGAGAAAATAGTTTAATACTAATTATTTATCAATTATTTTTAAAATAAATTTGTGAATTTCTCGCTTTAGGCATTTAAATAATATGAGAGTATTGGGTCGGCAGGTAATGCGCTCGATTTCAGAATGAAATGAAGGCCTTACCCGGACAAGAAATACCAGCTTTATATAATTTGTAGCTTAAGTGCGTCATGTTTGTGTTGAAACCAAATATATATTTATTATCACAGTCTATACACAAGACGAAAAATACTAAAATGCAATGCAAATATTAGATTTAATAAAATATGTTTTAAAACACTTAAGCTACAAATTATATAATAGTCATAAAAATTGCGTATATCAATTTTTAAATTTAAGATGAAAAATACTAAAATGCAATGCAAATATTAGATTAAATAAAATATGTTTAAAAAAATACGTTTGTGTATAGACTGTGATAATAAATATATATTAGATTTATATAATATTTAAAAAATCCAGTTCGTACCTCAAAGAAAATATAATACATGTCTTTTAACTACTATCAAGCTGTCTCAGCTGTTGAACGAAATAATTTTTGCTTGAAGTGACAATCATACGAAACACATAAATACACCTCATTTATTAACAACGACAGTCTTTTCTTTTCTTTTCAGAGTAAATTGGGTTCAGGAACTTATTGTATATGTGAAAGCAGTTTTACCAACATTTTCCAGGTTTGTTCAGTTTTTAATGTTATCTCTTATCGGCCGCAGTTTCGTGTGGTTTCTGTGTGTGTCCGTGGCTGTTGGCTGTGCAGTGGCGGTCAGTTTATCAACCTGGAAACGTTACCAGGACAACCCTACAGTCATATCACTGGAAAATAACTACAGAGACTGGAACATTTCTGTTGCTGCTGTGTACATCTGTCCTACGGAGACGATTGACGAAGAAGCTCTGGAGACAGTCTTAAAGGGGTTAGTACAGCAACCAACTTTCTTCCGTGGTTTATACCAAAGCCTCTTTAACTCTTTGAAGTCGAAGCTCGTCTAAATATTACGTATTTAGGAATTCAGTCCGCACCGCGAAGAAAACACAACTCTTCACCTTTAAAAATATCAACTGGTTAACCTTTTGAAGTCAAAGCTCGTCTAAATATTACGTATTTAGGAATTCAGTCCGCACCGCGAAGAAAACACAACTCTTCACCTTTAAAAATATCAACTGGTTAACCTTTTGAAGTCAAAGCTCGTCTAAATATTACGTATTTAGGAATTCAGTCCGCACCGCGAAGAAAACACAACTCTTCACCTTTAAAAATATCAACTGGTTAACCTTTTGAAGTCAAAGCTCGTCTAAATATTACGTATTTAGGAATTCAGTCCGCACCGCGAAGAAAACACAACTCTTCACCTTTAAAAATATCAACTGGTTAACCTTTTGAAGTCAAAGCTCGTCTAAATATTACGTATTTAGGAATCCAGTCCGTACCGCGAAGAAAACACAACACTTCACCATTGCAAAGATCAACTGGTTAACGCTTATACTCTTGGAACCAAAAGTTACCGTCACAATTCAATTTGATTACGAAATGCTGAAAACATTTATCTCAGCTTCATAGTCAAATGCGTTTTAAATGACTAGTAGAGACGCTATCAATTTCATATCATTGTGACGTCATCCACACTCAACGTTATTGGCCGATACCTGTACAATTGTGATGGACTGGTACTTTCTAGAGGTATATTTTCCGAAGCACTTATCTGATATATTCATATACCGAATAAATAAATAAAGGTTATTTTGAAACAATGGAACATGTAATCCCAGTCTTTTATGTTTAATGCTGTATAATCAATAAAGTACTCAGCAAAATTCAAAGAGCTGGCACAATATTAATTTAACCTAGTTATAAAAATAATGAACTCAAATTTATAAATATTATTCTAATTAGCTACACCTTATTAAAATGCAGTGAAATTCTTTCGAGGCATAACAATTATCAGTAAAGTGAGATGCTAAAGACATGATAAAAGGGAATCGATACCCGGCAGCTGTATCGATCTTTTACTTTAATAACAGCTGATTAATTTTTGTACCGTGGTTCGTGATTTCTGTTACGTTGTTTTTTAAATATTCACTTTGTACGTCTTGAGATTCGGAAATGGATGATAAACAAGCATTGAACCCAGTCTTATCATTACAATCACAAATAGGATTAATGTCCATTTTATATCTCAGATGTATTTAATGAAATAAATATAGCCAATAATAATGTGTTTATGTTTCGTTAGCAACCAGAATTTTTTGAGGTCTGTAACATTATCGTCTTTCAATAAGAACATCCCACCCTTGACATAAATTAAACATGTTGAAAAGAATCTGGATGAATTGTGGTAAACTTTACGTCACTGGATGTATAAATAGATTTTCTTTCTCGCAGACTCACGAACTCTACTCAACCAAGTGATGTTGAGCGACTTAGAAAGTTTCTGATTACCCTTGCCAAACTTAATCATGACAATTTGGATACTGTGGAGGAGTTTGCAGGTTATACGGAAATACATCCGAGTAACTACACGAAATTAGTCGACGAGGTACGTGGACACTTGTTTTTAACTTCGCTGATTAATGGCCAGCCTGTTTATTTCTTAACAGCGTTAAGAATTACAATTTTTTTTTTTTACTATTGATGGAACTCACAAATTTAAATTACATAAACATCTGTAAATTGTTTCGTAACATTGAAACATGACTCGGTGTACTTTGTAGGTCTCATTCAAGTTCGAATATTATTCTGAAGAAGAAAAAGAAGAAGAAGAAGAAGAAGAGACGCCAGAAAACGAAAATACAGACGCCAACCATGAAGTTCTCCTTCCAATCTTGACCGAATACGGAAGGTGCTATGCATACAATTCACAGTTGGCAGCATCGCAGTGAGTTAAGCAAAATATGGTCACAATTAAGTGCTCGGACTGTACTATTAGCAGACTACCTCTTGAATACCAGACGATGGATAATATCCCCGAATTTAGCAACCCCCGAGTAGACTACTTGTTTAATGGATGTAGGTCTCTCATCGATTTGACCGCCGCGACATTGAGGGTCTTTAGACTCAAACTGCTGATTACCAGCGTTTCAGAGGTCCTTGCTGCCTCCATCATCAGGGCCTCTGAAATGTTGGTAGAAGATAGCAATCTTCCTGTTAAAAAAAGTCAGTATAATCGTATTATTATTATTATTGACTTTTGGGACTATTTTACGAGTGACCCAGATATTCCTCCGCTGCGCAGAAATTAACCGCTCCATTTGTACTTGGAATGATTTCTTTCTTTATAGACTCACGAAGAAACGTGTACCCCTAATCGTTGAATCGCACTTGGAATCTGGAAATTCCAAAAGTATTTCCCACATCAACAGCGCGTTCACTGTAAGTACCTCGCTCAACTTACGTTAAATTCAGTTCTAAAATATTTCTTTCGCAGATATTTTAACTTTTTAGTCGTCGTATTTTAAGAATTCACAACTTTAAATACTTTTAAATCTTTGTGTACATAATAATTGCTTTATCTAATGACAGGTCCTCCGTCCCACTGGTAATAACGGGTCTCTTTCCGCCATCTTGTTATTTAATGACGATGTACATTCTTCCACATAGTTCGTAGTTCGTCTTAATTAAACATAAAACATGCATACAAACAAAACTGTTTACACTTAGAAGGACACTAATTCCAATACACTACACGGTATGCAAAGTTTTAAGTCTTAATTAAATCATTATCTGCTGGGTTTTTCTCGTTTTACAGTTTTATCAAGTTATTTTCCCTCCTTCAACTTTTATGAATTAGGCAACCTGCTTAGTTCGATTCATAATTAATTTATAAAACTATAAATACTTTCAGAAATTCTTCGGACTCGTTTGACAATTGATCGACCCGTATCGAGGTTTATCCGCACAAAGGACATAGATCATCTCACGAGTAGAATTCAAACGCCCCGATCACATATTCGCCCTTTATCAAATAAACCACTCCGATCTGTAGCTTTCATGAAAGATAAACATATTTCGTTCTTCCATGATATATTCATCTTTTGCGTCGTACAGTCTCCAAGACTGTAAAAATATTTAGGTATACAGAATTCGTAGTTTTAACAGCAGGGTCATTTTATGAAATTGTTATATTTCGTAATTTCTTGTTACGATTTCTCCAGGTACGCCTTGCACAAATTATTTTTTTCCCCTCACGATTACTGTAATAGACACATTGCATCAAATCAGTGCGCTTAATTCTTATGTCGAATAATGTAATTCGTGTTGTGTTCGTAAGACAAATCAGTAAATATCCAGTGTCAATGTCATTACTTAACGTGCAGTTGCGTCGTTGATATTTTTTTACAGGTATATTTCAAGAACCCGTGGGAAGTTCCCGGGATTGGAGCCTTGAACCAAAAACTGTTCAACCCTTTCATGTACAGGAGTAACGCAAATATGAGAGTAATTATCACGTACGCTACAGACGACGTTCGTAATCTACGCGTCGATCACCGAAAGTGTCGCTTCAGGGACGAGTCCAATTTGGCGATAAGCGACATCTACTCGGTGAACCTCTGCCAAAGTCAGTGTCGAGCTGAAATGGCGATCAGACTTTGTGGTTGTGCCCCGTTCTTCTACGTCGGAGTCGAACGGGGTAAGGAGAACGAAATTCTGTTCTAGTGACGTAAGAGACAAATTTCTTCCGTGGCCTTGAGGCAGGCAAATTTGGTGACGCCTACTATACCATACAAAAATTTGGAACTGTAACATTTTCTTACATTTCGATTTTGACTTAAACTCATTATCGTGATAAACGAGGCTCTAAAGACCGAGTGGCGTAACTTTTACATCCGCTGTAGAAGAAATGCCTGTATCTAAAGCCAGGTGTAGCTAAAGGCTATTTTTACCAAGAATTCTTTCGTTATGAAAAATTAATTATCCTTAGAAGATAACTGTTCCCGATGCTTTTCGCCACGGATCATATCTTAAAACACTTCATAAACGTCATTCGGTTGAAGACTACATCGACCCCGTGCCTTTCAAATCCCTACAATCAGTAATTAACAACAAGGCGAAGGCACAAACTTATGAGCCGAAGCGATATTAGTACACTCTAGTACGTAGTCATGAAATGTTTAAAAATAAACTTTTCATTGGTAGCTTCTGTAAAATATGAAACATGACATCCACGGAAACTTTTAAATGTGGGCTTACATTTCAGTTTCAAGCCGAGTTACTGTATGAATGGATTATAAACTATTATTAATTTTCTATAAATTTTATTGTAATTGACTTCAAAATGTGTACGATATCAATCGATAAAAATAAAGTACAATTTCAACTAGGATTCGATTATATGACTATCAGCTAACAAGCTCCCGAAGCTAACCAATGAGTTAAACTATTTTTTTTTTTAAATTTAAAACTTGCAATATTTAATTATATCATTTTCAACAAAAGTATCTGTGCAACTGGAAATTTATGCCCAGAACTCCTTGTACCAAGTTCTTATAGATTTGTTTACAGACTTCACAGCCGTGTATAACCGTTGCAGAAAAAACAATTTGTGAATTAATTAAATAAACAAAATTTGGAGACGCGGCTACCCAAGCGGTGACGTAGAGCTTTCTGCTGGAAAGCAGGTAAAAGCTTAAAATCCATAACATTAAATTATAAACATATAATTTAATTTAAATGTCCTTAATAGACATCTATAAGGTCCACTGATAAATCACATTCAGATCATTTTTATAGACTGAATTCCTCAGACATGTTTATTCACATTACGTAAGCCACAAGCCACACATCGTTTAACTATCTCTAAAACACGTGAAGATCGATTAAGAATATGGTGACGTCAGAGACAATCTTCAAAATATTGGATCATAAATCCATAGTTACATTGCTGACAGCCCAATAACAGTTTAATTGCATTCAGTAACCACGAAAGCTTAAGATCTTTATTAAACATCCACTTTTGAAGTTTGTTCATTAAATTTCTGTTTAAATTTCGCATCACAACGTTTCTTTTAAATAATTACAACTAACAGCACACTCGAAGTTAAGTTTGTTTGAAATGTTTGTTCCAGCTCACTACAACATATGCGACGTGCAGGGAATGATTTGTCTAGTGGATCACGTGAGTACGTGCACACTCACACTATTTAAATACCATCGACCATTAATATTTATAAACATAAGCCACGTTCTTTATCTGTATTGGAAGTATCCAAAACACTCTGTATATTTTAACCTGAGAAACGTACATTCTGTGATATCAATCAGAGGTTAAATGTCTGCTGAAATAAATGTAGCAAGCTGTACCACCAGACTTACAATTACCTTGACATGGAGAATCGAAATACCTGCGACCCGGAATCATAGAAAACTTACAGTACTTTATTTTCACCCCCAAAAGGGTATATTCGGGAAGGTTCGTCCACACTCGTGGTGACACCCGTGTCTGCAGATAACTCGAGAACATAGCTCCCCTTTGAACGATGTCGTAAAACGTGAGAAGTCTGCAGACTACGAACTGACGTCAAAGAATACAGCATCTAATCGTTCCCGAATAACATCGCAAAAAC